TTTCAGCATTGATTTAAATGATCTAAGATTTGCAACTGAAATAAAATATACTTTACGCAGCAGGTGTCAAAGTCCAACTGTTAAAAATGTTAAATAAAATAACCAGACAACAAAAACATGATATATATTTGGCAAACAAGAGAGTACACGTTGATGCAAAGGCCAGTTTGAATAAATTAGTTTTCAGCTGCTGTTAAAAGAGATCACAGCCCTTGTGTTGACAAGAAGACTGAATGTTCCACTCTCGTGTGGTTTCATGCACCCGGATCAAAAAATAAGAAAACGAATGATCCTGAAGTTCTTTCTGACCTGGTCAGTTCGGATGAGGAAGCTGTCGATGAAGTCTCGTGGGGAGCTGGGGTCAAGTGTCTCTTTATGCTCTAGGATTTTCATCTCAATAAACTCTCTAACCCCCTCTGCTCGATCAAAAACAGTCTGATGGTAGCCAGGAAGAAGGTCCATCAGCGAAGGAAACATGTTGTACATCTGTGGGAGAGACGCACACACATTCTATTAATATTTTGAGAAACTGTTATACAATATTTCTCTTATTATGTCTAGAGGATGATGTAAAGACACCAAATGAAAAGGACCATCCCCCCCTTCACTTACCTGACCCAGAGGACTACTGGCGAACGTTAAGAAATCAAAAACAATGTTGAGGAGGTACAGGAACTGCTTGTCTTCATAACTGAAGCGTTGGCCAAACACCATGCAGCAGATCACATTGGACACAGTGCACATCACCAAGACGGTTGGGTCAAACTGAGCAGCTGGAGGAGACAAGCAGAACACAGTTGGACTGATGTTTTTCCCTCTGTCTTTGTCAGGTCATCTGTTCAGTTTTGGTTGGATCAGTTTGAGGATCACCCGAGTTTGTCTGCCTGCCTCCTGAGAGTAAGCCTGTTATTTTGCGATTGAAGGTTTTTACCCGCACTTCCTTTGTTTTTGGCATATAGGCTATTTCAACAAGCAGAAAGACCCAGGGTTTTGATTTTTAATATGAGTTGACAGTGCCGCCATTCTATCATGCCGTCAGCAAATGTTCCTTCAAATGTTAAAAGCAAAAAACTATTTGGGGATACTAAAATTGTCAGCTTAAATTCAAGCTTGTCATGGTCAAGAGCCTTTCCAAACCTACAAATGTACAACCAGCTCAATCAGGACATTTCAACAAACTGATATTGTCTTTTTTGAAAGCATAAACAGTGACCTGGGCGAAAAAGTTTGCATCTTTAAACGTTGATTTAAAGGTGTATTGCAACTTGGGTTCTGTTTTGTCACTAAATGCTTGAAGCCTTTTACTTGAGAGCAAAAACTTTGGCATTGAACTCTGTGTTTACATAGACATCTCGGCCTACTTACTCTCTGGAATGTAGGTTACTCTGTGGCAACCTTTAAATAATGTCATTCAATCATTAACTTTTATTGATCTATATGAATTGTAAAGACATCAACAACAATAGTGTGTAGTTTCAGAATGATCAGATGATCTCCTCCAATGAGACGTGTTATTGAATTGCAGCTTTAAAATCCCCTGTTTTGAGTCTTGGTTAGTCAAGGCTGTGATTTAAGGGTTTTTTGCAGGTTATGTAAAGTATTCAGGGTTTACTTTGCACAAAGTGCCGCCAGAAAGAGATGAAGATTAAAGAGCTGAAGTAAAAGAGATAAACACACAGAGCGTTTCCAACAAAGCTTCCACACTCGCTTTTCTGTCGTTGACCAACTGTTCCATCCCTGAGAGTCGACTGCAACACTGTGTCACCCTTTACTTATCTTATGCATCATCTCTTTTTGCGTCTGTTCAGTGTATTTTGTGAAGGCTGTCATATGCACCTATAAAAGTTACTTAACATTTTCTTTTTTTTTTGTAAATATGTTTGATTGTTTTTTCACAATTATTATCCCACAGAGATGAAAGATACAGAACATATGCATGTCACTTCAATTTACACATTTATCTACAAAATGTAGAAGTGCATTGTTCAGCAGATACGTTGACACAGTGAGTTCACCATTCCCATCCCCTCCCACCCACATTAAAAACATTTTCTTTATTCTCAGTGTCACTTCATTGTCAGGGGTACAATTTAGCTCTAAAAAAATTTAACTCAGGTTATGCAATAATCTTGTTCCACATTAAACAATTTTTAATCAACAGCTGCAAACACACCTTTGAACGAGTCAATGCGACCCCTCAGGTGTTTGCTCTCCTCCTGGATCCACTCCTCCATGCCCTTACGTCCCATCCCAAAGTTCCTCAGGGTCGACAGGGTGAAACGTACCAGCTGGCGCCATCGCTCCCCATTACTGACCCCTAAACCTGACAAAGAGGGTGTAGATGCAGAGACATGCAGGAATGAAACCACTGAGAAATCACTGCTCCATTGCAGATTTGTCTCGTGTTACCGTATCCCTTGGTAGCTTTGATCAGAAATGGCAGCGGTCCTCTGCCCATGAAGTCATCAGCCTGGTCCACCAGAGCCTCCTTCACTGCATCATACCCGACCAGAACAACTGTCCGTTGCCGGCCCAAATAAAAGGTCATCACTGGACCGTAGGTTTCACCGAACTAGAATAAGACAGTATTTTACTAGTACTAGAGAAAGTTCAAGTTCAGATGAAGTAGCTGCGATTGAGCAACAACAGCTCTCAGTTATTGTTTGCAAATCCTGACAAAAAAGTTCCTGAACTCACCTTGAGGAAACTTTTAAAAGGTGCATTTCTGTCCAGTTGTGGAAGGTTCCCTACAAGAGGGAGGGCAACAGGTCCTGGAGGTAAATTATACTTCTTACTGCTTTTTACTGTTAAAACCAACAGTAGAGCTAAGATTAGCCCTGCTAATATCACTGTTATAGTAAAGTACATGATGCTCTGCTATTGTCTGCTCTTTGAACAGATCTTATATCCCAAATATTTGTACTTTTGACAGAAAGGCTCTGGGCCACAGGTGAGTCACATGGTTTACTAAAGTTGTCCGTTACAAAACTGTTGTTGTCATTGGAGTAAAGCCAGTGTGAAGTGACACCGCCCCCACATCTCGTCTCAACGTCTGGATAAACAAGTCTGTCTTTCCCGAGGCCAATGGAGAAGAAGCCAACAGAAACGAAAAACATTTCACGTAATTTGTAACGTATCTATCACTTGTCATACTGGAATTGTTCCACATCTGACATGGAGGGTCACACATCCACCAGCACTCTCACCTGAGGACCTCTCAACTTTGGAGCCATGGGTCCACCTACTGCACATGTTGGACCATGAGGGAGGCAGGAGTGCCCGGGGGGACCAACGCGCCCTTGGAAGACCATGCCAACGTCCACGTGGAGATTCCCGGGATGGATTCAAGCCCATGACCTGAGACTGTGAACCCCCCCCCCGCCTTAATTTCCTTTTGTTCCCCTATTTTTTTTTCTCCACTTATCCCACTGAGCCTGGTTCTGTCGGAGGTTTCTTCCACCTGGGAGTTTTTCCTCCCTGCTGTAGCTCATGCTTGCTCAGTGAAAGGGAACAAGTTGAATTTTGTCTTTTTTAAGATCTTGGACTTTTGTGCAGTACCATGAGACAACTGTTTGTTGTGATACTGTGCTATATAAATACATTTGATTGATTGATTGATTGATTGATTGATCTGAGAAACCTGCATTTTCAAACAGGACACCAATAGCCTACAGGATTGATATTCAGGAGGGGTCTGCTATTGAAAGCTAGAAGAACTTCCCCCTCTTGCTCTTTCCTGTACCCACTCAGATGCTCTTAAATGGTTATTTTTCAACATTGTTTGGCAAAATGTTGTCTTCAGAAGCAGATTGATGTGTTTTTTGTTTTTGCAACAAGTTTTGAACAGCAGATATGTGGTGACTGAGTATTACTGAAACAGACTCCGGTATAGATTTACTTGTGTCACTTTTATAGCTTAATAGTAAAAGATAAAATAACCAAGACACAGATCATAATGAAAATGCACAGCTTGCATAACAAGATATGTTAAAAAGACAAAAAGATGTGTATAAAGATGTGTATATATATATTCCCCTAGTATATATATACTAGGTATATATAGTATATATATACTAGGGGAATATATAATCAAAATACACATATGAATTTACACATTAATGGACAACCTCTAAAAAGACATATTCTATATTCGTGTGCAGTCTGTATAGTCAGAATATAGTCTGACATTGTATTCATAGCCCGGTGACAGTCTTGCACTGTGAGTTTAGTCCAATACATTTATAGTCTCACATAGTCTAAATAATAGTACGAGAGTAGTGTGTATATTCTGCATGGAGTTCCTCTGTTCACCGCGGTGTAGCGATGATCTTGTATCTGCGAGGCATGTTAGCAAAGCTGCTGTACTCAGGGACGAGGTTGATGCTGTCGGGGCCTTCTGCGCAGGAGAAGGTGAAATGCTGCAGCAGAGACACCAAAAAGATAAAGAGCTCCATACGAGCCAGAGACTCACCAACACATGCTCTTTTCCCTGCGAAGAGACACAACACAAACAGATTAAACAATGATTAATGGGACACTAAACTATCACAGATTCGTATGAGGTTGTCAGCGGCTACACCAGGTTSTTAATGTTCGTTAAGTGRTGATATGTTWTMTTTRACCTGCAGCAAATGGCAAGAACGCAGGATTTTTCTTGAAGTTTCCGCTGTGGTCCAGGAAGTGCTGAGGGTTAAAGGTCCAGGGAGRCGCCCACTGTTTTTCATCTTTGAGCACAGAATGCAACAAGGGAATAATCACAGTGTCCTGTCGAGACAAAACATCAGGTCAGTGTAATATGACGCAGTGTTGCATGAATGTGACATCATGAACTTGAGGATACCTTGGGGATAGTGTAACCCCTGAAAGAAATGTCCGTCAGTGCATAGTGAGGGAGGCTGAAGGGGACAATGTCCAGAAAACGCTGCACCTCGTGGATGACAGCATCTGTGAAGGGGAGGGACTTCCTGTCCTCCATGTTGGGGCACCGGTCTCGTCCAATCACACTGTCAATCTCCTGCTGGATCTTTTCTACATAAAATGCAAATAGTCATTTATTAATATTATTAGTTGGCTATGTTTAAGATAAAGATGGTAGGGGAAGTACCTTGTATGTTTGGGTATTTGATGAACACACTGATGGCGTATCTGATGGTGGAGCTTGTGGTTTCTGTTCCCGCCAGGAACAGATTCATCACMGTTGACACCAAGTTGTCGTGGTGGAACTCAGTGGTGGGATTGTGCTTTTCCTTTGGAGGAAAAAGAAATCAGATGCAAATCAAACTTTAAACCATTTGAATACACTTAACGCAGCAGGTGCCAAAGTACAATTGTTAAAAAAATTTAAAAATAAAAGAACCAAACAACAAAACATGACACATATTTAGAAAGAAAAATAGTACACATCAATACAAAGGCCAGTTTGAATAAATGTGTTTTCAGCTGCAGAGATCACAGCTCTTATGTTGAAGAAGATTGTTCTACTGTGTCGGAGCTAAATGCACAATATCTCTCAGTGTGGTCTCATGTTTCCTAAACAAAACTAATGATCCTGAAGTTCTTTCTGACCTGGTCAGTTTGGATGAGGAAGCTGTCGATGTAGTCTCGTGGGGAGCTGGGGTCCAGTGCCTCTTTATGCTCTCGGATGTTCATCTCGATAAATTCTCTCACCTTGTCTATTTGGGCAAAAATGTAGTGCTGGTACCCAGGAAGACGCTCCATCAGCAAGGGGAAGATGTTGTACATCTGTTGGAGAGACGCACACACCATAGCTTTGTAAAATGCTATGTGTATAGCCTATGTTTTGGGAAACTGTTACACAATATTTCTCTTGTTATGTCTTGAGGATGATATAAAGACACCAAATGAAAACCGGACTAAAGACAGTTGTCCCTCTAGGCCCATCCCCACCTCCACTCACCTGACCCAGAGGACTATTGACGAACTTTAAGATTTCAGATATGATGTTGAGGAGTTGCAGGAACTGCTTGTCTTCATAACTGAAGCGTTGGCCAAACACCATGCAGCAGATCACATTGGACACGGTGCGGCTCAACAAGAATGTTGGGTCGAATGGAGCAGCTGGAGGAGACAAGGAGAACACGGTGTTAGTTCTCATCAGAAGAGAAGAAATGACAATGGAAAGACTCAAAAACAACCATCAACCTACAATGCAACCTACAAACCATCAATTATCATTATTATATATATTATATTATTTAAAGTCTTCAATTAACAGAGAACTGCAGAAAGAACCTGGCTCTGCACAGGGAACCTTTTTGCTGTGAGTTGACACTGACAGTGCTAACCACTGCTCTGCCGTGCCGCCCGCAAATGTTCTCTCAAATGCCAAAAGCCAAAAAATAAACTCTTTTGGGATTTTATCATTTTCAGAGTAAATTCAATTTGTTAAATAATAGTTTATCAGTCGTAATTGAGGTAAAAGTTTGAAATAATCGTGATATTGATTTGAAGTCATATCGCCCAGCACTACCTATGGCAAAGTTTTCAGTAATTGAATTCAATCATTCACTTTTATTGATCTATATCGATATCAATAAATACATCAACAATAAGAAGGAAATATTGTTACTGTTTTGAGTCTTGGTTAATCAAGGCTGTGACTAAAGGGTTTTTTGCAGGTTATGTAACATATTCAGTGTTTACTTTGCACAAACTGCTGTCAGAAAGAGATAAGGATAAAAGAGCTGAAGTAAAAGAAATAAACACACTTCCAATTAGAGATAAATGCAATTGCAACAAAGCTTTTCTGTTGACTGCACCACTAAGTGCAAACCAATGTGTGAAATCTGTTTTCTTATAACAACAGCTGCAAACACACCTTTGAATGAGTCAATGCGACCCCTTAGGTGATTGCTCTCCTCCTGGATCCACTCCTCCATGCCCTTACGTCCCATCCCAAAGTCTCTGAGGGTCGACAGGGTGAAACGTCGTAGCTGACGCCATCGCTCCCCGTTACTGATCCCCAAACCTGACAAAGAGGGATGGATACAGAGACATGCAGGAATGAAACCACTGAGAAATCACTGCTCCTTGTATATAGATTTGAAGTGTCTCATGTTACCGTAGCCCTTGGTAGCTTTGATCAGAAACGGCAGCGGTCCTCTGCCCGTAAAGTCATCAGCCTGGTCCACCAGAGCCTCCTTCACTGCATCATACCCGACCAGAACAATGGTCCGCTGCCGGCCCAGATGAAAGGTCATCACTGGACCGTAGGTTTCACCGAACTAGAATAAGACAGTATTTTACTAGTGCTAGAGAAAGTTCAAGTTCAGATGAAGTAGCTGCGATTGAGCAACAACAGCTCTCAGTTATTTTTTGCAATTCCTGACAAAAAAGTTCCTGAACTCACCTTGAGGAAACTTTTAAAAGGTGCATTTCTGTCCAGTTGTGGCAGGTTCCCTACAAGAGGGAGGGCAACAGGTCCTGGAGGTAAATTATATTTCTTACTGCTTTTTAAAGTTAAAACCAACAGTAGAGCTAAGATTAGCCCTGCTAATATCACTGTGGTAAAGTCCATAATGCTCTCTCTCTCTCACACTCTGTGAAAAGCTCTCATGTCCTGATTATTTGTACAATTCACAGGGAGCTCACATGGGTGTTGCAGGTCAGAGTTGAACCATGTGATTCTATTGTGAACCTACAGATTTATATAAATTATATAAATACAACCATTTTCCTGCCAGTGATCTTTGACTTTATATGGACAATAACAAGTTAGTCACTTCCCCTCTCTTCCCTGAGGCTGATGCTGACAGAACAAATTAAAAATGTATGTGAATAAAAGATATCTATTAATTTGTATTAATTTAAAGAACAGGAGGATTGACCTTTTGTGCTAAATTTAGGGGTTTGAATAGCAGATATCTGGTTCCAGCTTTAACTGAAACTGACTTGTTCTGATCCACTTCAGTGATTGGCCTGTGTCACTTCCCTGCACTGATATGGAATATCTCAACACATATATACAATGGTTTATAATCCTGATTTAAAAAGGTTAAATACTGGATTTAGAAAGACCAAATGTGGTTATCACTGACCCTTCACAGAACGCACTGACTTTTCCTTTCTGTGTTGAGTTTTCAAATTCTCCATGCACAGCTTTGCATTTGAATTGTTTTTATTTTTAACATGATGGTTTAAGGAGCGTTGCATTTTGCAAAAGGTGAACTGTGAGATTAGAGTGTGAAATAATATTATGTCAGGGTTTTTAAATTTTAAATTTTATTTTATTTTTTTAATCAGAGTAAATAGAGTTCAACTCTTGAAACTTTAAAGGTAGACCTACAATGCACACAACACTTTAGCTGGTACTGTGCTGTTGTTTCAACATATAACTAAATAATGACTTTATTATGAATTATGTGTCATGGCAATCGTGCCAAAGTTGAGCAACAAGGCTCTGAGCTATTGCATCACAATCATAATATGATAAACACATGTGCTGTTTGTGTTGAGGTAAAAAAAAACACACACACACACACACACACACACACACAC